TTGGATGGGTGAAATGTGAAGGCACATGGGATGGCAGGAGCTCCGAGGTCAACTTCCATTCTTGGGCACCGGATGCGGGGCCCTCAGGGGTCCACTGTGGGAGCTCCAGCTGGCCCTGGCTGGAATGGGTACCTTGCAGTTTCAGCTACAGTCAGAGCCAGAGTTTCTTTGCTAGTCTGCTGGGGTCCTGCATAATAGTGGAGCATCTTCGGAAGCCAAAGTATTTGAAAAACATGGCTCACTGATACTGCAGAGACCAAGCTCCCAGGTTCACCTTGGCTGCTCCAGGCTGCTGGGGACCCGTATGCTTTTCAGGGCTCTCAGATGATGCTTCCAGGCCTTCCTTGAAGTTGTTGATGACACTGCAAATGTCACACCAGGGTTGGCCTCAGCCAATAGCAGCATCGTGGAGATGCAGAAGCAAGACAGAGGTGACCTCATTTGTGCCTCTTTGTGACCCTGCTAAGGTGCTGAAGTGTATCTTCAGAGAAGATAAAAACCAAAAGTTTTCAGCTACTGGAATGCTGAGTCCTTAGCTAAGAAATGAGAAAACTCGTTTCCTAAAAGGATAGAATGATTAAAGATATAAAGTATTCATGTTACTGTGTGAAAACAGAGTCATGAGCAAACGAACAATATTACTTATAAACAGTGGAAATCCTGGAGCACACACAGGTATCTAGAAAGCCTTCCATGCCAGAAATGTCACATTCCTGTCCATGGTCATGTCCATACACTGGGTGGGTAGTCTGGGGATTCAGACTAGACCTGTGGATCCAATTCCCAAATTCAGGTTGTCCCAGGGGTGTGGCCACCATAGTCAGAATTGCCACCCCAACAGGGAATGCTGTTGATAAGTCATTCAAAATCAGGTCATGATGGACTCCTGGCTGAAGGTGCAGCTTGCAGGAGTGGTGAGGTACTTCTGCAGAAAGGATTTCTCATTGTTCTGCCTCTCTGGACCAATGTCAGATTCCAAATAGAGCTGCACTTTTAAGAATAAAATCAACCAAGGGCTGGGGGTTTAGCTCAGTGATTCTGGCGCCTGCTTCACAAGTGCAAGGTCCCAAGTTCAATCCCCAGTACCCCCCCCCCAAAAAAAACTTTAAAAAAAAGAGTAAAATCGAGCAATTGGAATATCCCCTGGACATGTCTGCAGATACATTCTGCTTTGAGCCCTGGGAGTGCCAAGTGAACAAGGCTACCCTTACTGTAACTAACAGTGATGTAGTTAGCTTTATCAGGGAAGGCCATGTTTTTGTTAAGAAGTTCTTGGAGCCAGGCAAGGTGGTGCACACCTGTAATCCCAGCATTCTAGGAGGCTGACACAGGAGGATTCCAAGTTCAAGCCCAGCCTGGGCAACATAGTAACTTAGTGAGACCCTGTCTCAAAAGAAAAAACAGAAAGGGCTGTGGATATATCTCCGTGCAAAGGCACGGGGTTCAATCCCCAGTAATAAAAAAAAAAAAATGAGGCTTTGTGAACTTGGTTTCTAACTAAAACACAGATATTCTCCCTTCATGGGGCGGAAGGGAAAGCTGGCAAGAGTGCCCAGTGGGCTCCTGCAGGCATCTTCTGCTGCTGCCTCAATGGATCACACAGATCATAGAAGATCCACACCTCAGTGTGAGTCGATACAGATTCTGTAGGACCCTTGGCTGCTGCTGTGGGGAGAGCCTGAAAGCACTCTCCAAATCCCAGCAGGCCAGACAGGAAATCTCCTTGGAAACCCAGGGATATCAGTGCAGAGGATCAACCTGCCTGAGGGGGGCAGCCCTGGGCACTGTGTCATTCCATGGCTGGCTGCCACATGCCAGAGTGTGCAAGACCAGAAGTGGCAGCCTTTAAATGGCAGCCAGGACAATCTTGAGCAAGGGAGAGGTGATGACACAGTGGGGGGCAACAGTGACACCCACTAGCCCTGGGCAGTCAGGGGAGTACGCCTGGTAACCATGATGCGGAAACTCCGTATCAAAGACATCCATAGAGGTTGTTATACATTCTGGGGACTTAAATCTATTCCTGACTCCATCCATTTCTTAGTTTTAGTAATGATTATGTATGGATCCTCTTATTCCAAAGATATGCTGGGGCAAGGTCACCTGCCAAGACCATGTAACTGAAAAACCACTAGGCTCTATTACACGTTAGGCGAATTCTCTAGGAGCTATGGTTTGTAAAAGGTGCGTCAGGTTCATATGGAGGTCAGAGAATGCTGGAAAAGGTGCATCAGAATCTGCTTGCAGACCCTGTGATCTCAAGTACTTCTGGATGGTTCTGTCTTTCCCACAGTTGTTTGGATTCTTTCCTGGTGCACAGAGATCCTGTTTCCATTGGTGGCAGGTGGCTGGAGAAGGTGCCCTATACCTTGGAACTTAAATGTCCCCCGAAGGCTCATGAGCTAAAAAGGCTTTGTTTCGAAGGTGGGCGCAGTGGCCTGACCTGAAATCCCCACTACTTGAGAAGCTGAAGCTGTTTGAGCCCCGGGGGTTTGAAGCCAGCCTGGCAACACTGCAGACCCCACCTCAAAACCAAAGCAAAGCAAAGCAAACCAAAGCACACCACAGAAGCCTTGGTGTCCAGTGTGGCACTGTGGCAGGTGGTGGGAACTAGGAAGTGGGCCTTGTGAGAGGCTTCAGTCAGCAGGAGCCTGCCCTCCAAGGGAATCGCCTTTCTCTTTCACTCCCAGCCACCAGGCAAACCGCTTTGCCCCGCCACACACTGTCCCATGAGGTGCTGCCGGGCACCCAAAGCAATACGTGTGGCCAACAGGTCTGCACAGAAGGCCCTAGAACTCCGAGCACTCTCACCACAAACCTTTCCTCTTCATATGTCGCTTATCTCAGGTATTTGTTACAGTGACAGAAAACTGACTAAGTCAGGGTGGACTCCCAGGACTTCCAGACCAGGTCATTCCTCAGCTGGCCAGGTGAGCTGCCCTGTCCCTAATGGTGCTGCACATCCACATGCACCTGAGCGCATGGGTGGTGTGTCTGTCTGTGTGTGTGTAGGGGGAGCATTTTGGAAGCGAAGTATAATTTTGGCTACTGAATCTACTAGATAACCCAGGTGTTTGTTTTCCTCTATATTTTGATTTAGAAGGAAGTGCTCATGTGAGGAAGAAATGAGGAACCTAAATTCATGGCTAAGAAGATGAGTGTAGAGATGACGGGAGAAGGAAACAGACCCTGCATGATCACACTTGCTCAGCATACGGGCTACCTTCATCAGCACCCTATTCACACAGGTGCTTTTTTTACAAGTTACATTAGAAAGTTTAAATCATATTTTAAAATTAAAGAAATTAAGCCAGGAATAGTGGCAAATGGCTATAATCCCAGCCCTCAGGAGGCTGAGGCAGGAGGATCACCATGAGTTAAAGGCCAGCCTGGACTGCAGTGAGACCCTGTCTCAAAAATAAATAAATAAAATAAAATAAGAGCGATTAAGCTACCATACATGGTAGGGAAAGTTAAAGGGTAAGGATTGAGGGATACAAAGTTAAAGGAAAGAAAAGCTATACAGACATGCTACAGGCTCAACAAATCAAAATTAAAAATAAAGCCAGCTAAGCGGTTATCTCCACAAAGAGGAAGGGACACACAAGTAGCATAAAGACCCAGAGTCCAAGGTCCGTGACCTTCAAGGCAGATACACAGCAACTCAGCTTGCCCTTCCCTTTTCTTCAGTCCCTGGGGCAGAGCCAGGCTGGGTGCCCCCCTCCACGTGGTCAGGTGTGGACCTGCACAACTGTTGGGGTCTGACTTGGGGCTCCCGCAACAGCAGGCTGGGCCGGCCCATAGGGAGCCATTGCTCACCCACTCAGGGCCAGTGCCAGCAGTAGCATGTGCCCCTCACTACCAAGGGCTATGAATTGGGACCCCGTCTATCTCCTTAATGCTCAGGGCTACTTAAAGCCTGCTTGTCTAAAAGATTTGGTTTGGTTTGTGATCCTCCTGCCTCGGGGTCCTGAGTAGCTAGGACTACAGACACACACCACTGTGCCCAGCTTAGGGAAATTGTTTTAATTCTCCTTCCTGAAACATCAGGTTAGGCAGAGTAAAGCCCTAAGCCTCAGAGGTGGGACACTGAGCTGCCAAGAAAGGGGGACTCTGCTCCAAACCCTGTGAGGATTTCAGGCAGGGGCTGTGGGCTCAAATCTGGCTCTGGCCGGCTACGTGCTCTGGAGAAACAATGTGGCTATGAGCTTGTTTCCAACTCGGAAGATATCGCAGTGTATTATTAGGAGGTGGCTATGTTATTAAGTCAGGGGAATACTTGCCAAGAACGATGCAGTGCTTTCATTAAGTCAGAATCAGGGCCGGGGGATTTAGCTCAGTGGTTTCACAGCCTGCCGCACAAGCGCAAGGACCCGAGTTTGATCCCCAGTACCAAAAAAAAAAGTCAGAATCACCAGAGATGTAAGGAAAGCAATCGGAGGGCAGAGGGGTTGCCTGCCCTCCAGAACTCACCTGTGAGGCTCATCCAGGAAGTGACTCCCAGGACAGCCTGATGAGGGTACCCGTGAATTAACTGTGACGGTATCAAACTCTGTTTTCATAGGAAGGGCAAACTGTGTCCATTTTCCTCAAGGACGTCCTGGTCTTAACTACCAGGCTCACATGCACTTATGGCACCTGTTTCTCCTTTGACAAAGATGGGATTGGACAGGAGGGCTACTCTCAGACGACCACGTTACTGTTCAGTGGTGGTCTCTTCTCCCCTGGGAGAACTCCCACAGAAAAGGGACAGAGCTGTGTGGCTCGACTGGGGTGGGGACATGCCCACGAGAGACAGGGACAGAGTCCTAACTCCAGAAGGCATGTCACAGCCCCACTGCCCGCCACCTCGAGTCAGTGGCCGCAGGGAGGAGGCTGGTCTCATTCAGTGTCGCATCCCCAAACACACCACATTCACAGCAGAACCCAGGACATACTGCTGGCACAGTGGGAGTGGAGGAGAGAGGCGAACAAGTCCCCAAGAAAGAAAGGCACAGCACTCAGGTTTTAGTTCTTGACTTTAATGCCATTTGAGGATACTGAGGCTCGATGCACAAAAGCAATCGCAACAGGTGTGTGACCACACTCGGGAAGTGTTACTCTGTGTACAAAAACCTGCACCCTCCAGAGAAGACAATGGACCCAGGAACTTGCCACAATAGGGCCGAGTTCTCTGCCCAGCCTTCAGCCCCGCCACCCAGCCATCCACACCTCCCCACATTACGTACGTATGCTTCTTCCAGGGTTCCCAAACAGGCCTTTCCCAGCCCAGTTCCCAACACTCCAAGGCAAGCGCCCCTCTTTTCAGCACCAAGAGACAGGCACTACCTTCATCCAAGAGCCCCCAAAACAGTACCTAAAAAAGCATAATCATCTATATTAGAGTATGGACAGGAAGCACATGGACACGCTGTGTCTGAAATTCTTCCTGCGGTGCAAACGCTCCGGAGTGGGTGTTGTTGCTGCTGTTTGTCTTAACCCCTTGGGTCGCAGCTTAGCCCAGGATTGCACACAGATGCATGGCTCTCTCTGCGTATTGCAAATGTCTGCTTCCTAGTCTGCCAGTGGACCGCGCAGAACAGCAAGAGCCAGAGGCTCAAGGTTGGACAGTCCCAGAGGATCCCAAGCCCCAGGAAGGACGAGCAGAAAGTTCCAGAGCACAGCGGCTACTTTTCATGGCCAGAAGGCCTGGGCAGCTGTGGTCAGCTAAGGGGGGTGAAGATATTTTTCTTCTATTCAGAAAGCCACTGAAAGAACCCCCACCCCCAGGATGTGACACGCTGCAGTGTGGCTTTCAGTCTTTCACCTTCCCAGCCAGTAACCATCACACCAGGTAGAAAATGTACCCAAAGCCAAACAAAGCTCTAGGGTGGGTACATGGTTTGACTCACTGACAATGGCCTGTCTCAAAGCAAGACGATTCTAGTCTTGTCAAAGGGGGAGCCATTTATTAAGATAATACACAAGAATTCCACGAACATACACTTCCTTTCAGCGAGGGAGAAACCTTCATATGTGGGAGACCTGCTTCCAGCCCCAGGCCTTCTATGCTCAGGCCTGGCTGCTTAGGGTTGGAAAGGGATCAAACTGACTCCCAAAAAGATGACCACTTTATTTGAAAGCCATCACAAACCACCTCACCCAACCACACGTTTTAGCCTGGCCTTGGCTTCTCATCAGAGAGGGGCCAGATAAGGCCACTGAATTCTGTTATTCTACACAGAAGAGCTCGAAGAGGGTAGAGAAGGGTGGAGAGTAAATATAGGGCCAGAATCCCTAGAACAGCATGATACGTTACTTCATATTTCTGTTCCACTAGTCAAGAAGGCTTGTAATAAATATATTTTTTCATTTAAAGAAAAGCTCCTGTTGCTACAAAAAAGTAAAGTATGGGTTAAAAAGGGGAGTTTTATTCTCTCTATAAAAAACACACACATACTTTTGACAGGAGGATTCAGTATGTGGTCTGCTCCAATACCCCAAAAACATCAGGATATAAAGAGCAAAAGGAATAATGCAGCAGAATTAAACACAAAAAGGACAAGCACAGTGGAAACAGTGTCTACAGCCGCAGCACTCAGGAGGCTGGGGAGGGAGGATCGCCTGAGCCGGGGAGCCTGAGACCAGCCTGGACACCACCAGTGAGACACTGTCTCAAAGCAAAGGAAAAGAGAAAGGGGCAGGAGGGAGAGAGGAGGGGAGGGGAGGGGAGGGGAGTGGGGAGCGAGCTCTTAAGCGGCCGCCCGTGTCCCCTCCCCACCTGCTTCATGGCACAGGACACACAGTGAGGACAACAAAGGGGAACAGAGACAGGCAGCTCCTGCAAGAAGCACAGGGACAGCGTCCTTACCAGGCAACCTTCAGGGTCAAGCCTTCGGGGCCTGGTTTTGAGCAAAGCCGCATTTTTGTGAGCCGGTCTGTCCCTGTCATGCATATACGGACTATAAACAGCAGAGTGCCATGATGTGCCATAGCCACTGTGGGAAGGGAAGGGACAGGCTATCTGCTGGAGACCCATGTGAACTTTCTCCTGAAGAGTCGGCCTCACCGTCAGTCAGAAAATGAACACACAACCCCCCGGCCCCCAAAAGAAAAATACTGGGCATGGCGACACACACCTATAATCCCAGCACTCAGAAGGCCCAGGCAGGAGAATCATGGCGAGTTCAAGGCCAGCCTGGGCTACACAGCGAGTTCAAGGCCATGTTGGACTACATAGTGAGACCCTGTCTCCAACCTCCCCGACTAAAAGAAAAGAAAATGAACACACACGAGGCGTGGGCACTGCTAACCAAAGCAATCTAAACGAGAACTTCTTCTGTGAGAAGAGGGCAGGGGTCTTGTGGGTGAGGAAAGTGCCAAGCAACGACAAGGGAGGGCACACACCCAGGAGGGTAAACAACAATCCTTTCCTCTTGGACCTCAGTCCCTACCTGTTCCACCAGAGAGGAACAGCAGCCACCCCACAGAGGCCAGACCCCGCTGCCCTCCACCCCAGGGAGGAATCCAAGTGTCCTGGTCCTGACCTCTCTCCCTCAGGAGGACACACCTGTGCTCAGCTCCCCTGGCCCCTAACGTACCTGCTCCTGTCACACTGAGACCAGCAATGCTGTTCTCACTTTTTTTTCTGAGATAGAGTCTCCCCATGTAGCCAGAACTGGTCTTGAATTTGTGGTCTCATGCAATCCTCCTGCCTCAGTTTCCCTCAGGTGGAACTACCGGATATGCTGCTGCACCTGGCTCAGCAAATCTTTATAGATATAAACACCTCGCTTCAGCACCACCAGGATAGTTGAGCAGGGCTGTGGTAACAGAGGAAACCCTTACTGTAGCGTGGAAACGTTAAGTTCTGATCAGAGATGCGGTGCAGTACTTCCCACATCCTGACCAGCTGTCCAGGCTGTAGACAGAGCAAGAAGGAAATGCAGTGGGAAGGGATGCTTTTGGATGTTCTTCTGAAATGTGGAAGTAAAACACAACAGAAGCTTGCTGCTGTCTTCCTATGACTCCTGGCTCTTTTAATTCCTCAGAACAGAAACTCTCCGAGGAGGAGGACACAGGCAGGACAGAGCAACACAATGCAAAGAAGAGATTTCCTCCAAAGGGTTCACCATAAACTGGACCCTAACAGAGACACAGCAGCCAGGGAGGTGTCCTGAGCCTCTAGAAATGAGGCTACTTTAGAATAACAGAGGGACACGGTGTCCTGCCCTCCTGACTTGGGAATCTTTGGGAGGAACCTTTGCCTTTTCAGCCCTGTGTAGATGACCCTGGTCGAAGCCCCATGACAGAGCTGTAAGCGCTGTGATTTTCTAAGGCCAACCTCGTACACGGCTTTGGAACTATGGTTAGATCTCTAGAAGGTGGGGAAGGACTTGCTCTCGAGAAGACAATGTGGGGGGCCATTCTTGGGGGCCAAGGGATGCATAGAGACGGGACCCACCTTTTTTCTTCAGCAGGGGCTGCAGGGTGGCTATCAGGGCACATCCTCCACAGATGCCACGTTGACAGTGACCCGCTGAGCACAGGGCGATGCCAGAGGGGAGAGGTCTACGCTACCTCAGTAACACGCTTCTACATGGGCAAAACTCCTGGGAGGTCAAGAAGGTGACAAAATCTCTGGACTTCCAGTGACACCTGCACTAGACCCCATCGGCCTTAAGTGGAGACTGCCATGCCTTGAGGAGAGGTGAGAGCAGACTCCGAGTCCCCAAGGGCCACCAGCCCCAAGACTGACCCTGAGGTTCAGCCAGGGGAGCAGATTCACAGCCCCTCCGGGCATCTTATCCCAGAGCCTGGACAGAGGCAGGACACCTTCCCGACGGGACGCTCTGCCTAGAGGGCTACTCACCACCATGTGATCTTGAACTCATAGATAGGGCGCTTGCAGTAGTAGTGGTTGATGAGGTGCTTGTCACACACCCCAATGCACTGGTGGTCCACAGTGAGGCCCTGGGCCGACAGGTCTGTGACCAGGCAATGCAACAGGTCATAAACGTCAGCCACGGCCTCCCAGGGCCCGAAAGACACATCCACCTCGCAGTGGTGCTCGAAGAGCTGCCCGTCACTCTCGCTCCGCTCAAAGCGCAGCGAGTTGAGGAGGGGACACTCGTAGGGCGTGATGGGCATCTCTTCCTTGAAGACACAGACCTTGAGCTTGGCAAAGCGGGCCTTCCGCTGGACTGCGCGCAGCCGGGCAATCTCCACAATCCGCTCCAGGTGGTCTGCAGGGGTGGACGCAGCGGCCATCAGTGCGGATGGGGTGGGAGGGCAGGGGGAGGCCACCTAGGGAGCGGGGGACAGAGGACCAGGGGAGAGACAGACTTCACCGGAAGGGACCCTTGGACCTTTCACCGTTCTCCACAGCAGGTAAGGCCTGTCCTTTTAACCTGCCTTAACCGGAACCTTCCCAGTGTCACTGCGGGGCAAGGCCACCCTCTCCCACCTCAGGGGTGTGCAGGAGCCCAGGACCCCTTGCTCCAGTGGAGACCTGGGCAGGGCACCAACACAGACGTGGCTCCTGGCTCCCCACCCCAGCCGCCCAGGCCCGCGGCCCTCACCTTTGTAATAGGGCATGAGTCCCAGAAATGCCTGGCGCACCTTCTCGCCCTTCAGTGGCTGCATGTTCTCCAGCTGCTCCAGCAGAGGCCCAATGGCGTAGTACTGGGCCTCCTTGTGCACGGCCTGCACCCGCTCCCGGGGTGGTAGGTCCCCTGAGCGCAGGAAGTTCAGCACATCTCTGAGTGGGAGGGAAAGAGCACTCGTGAGGGAAGAGGAGCTCATGGACCTGGGCAGTGCCACACAGGCTCAGGACACAGAACCTGGAACCCCATCCCCCCTGGGTGACTCTGGTAAGTGAACTCAGCCTCTACACCTTGGTTTCCTCATCCACAGATGAGATAAAATAACAGAACTACCCTAGAGGGAACTGAATGAATATATGAAAAGTGCTTAGAAAGTTTCTGGCACGAAGTAAGCCCTCAGTGAGTGTTATTAGCTGCTACTGTCAGTATCATTACTTTAGGTATATTAGATATTATTAGATACACCTAAGTATAATGGAAAGATACAGCATCTAGCTCCTTAATACACACACAATTTTAAAATTAGAAGTTATAATTGAAAAAGTTAAAATTAGCTGGGTGGTGCACACCTATAATCCTAGCATTCTGGGAGGCTGAGGCAGGAAGATCAAAAGTTTAAACCCAGCCTGGCCAACTTAGCAAGTCTCTGTCTAAAAATTTTAAATGAAGCTGGGTGTGGTGGCACACACCTGTAATCCCAGCACGCAGGAGGCTGAAGCAGGATGAATGCCTCATACATAATGACTTCATGGCCAGCCTGAACTACAGAGGGAGATCCTGTCACACAAAAAAAAGACCTTTGGTGAATCTGAGCACCCATTCTTGGGGAGATGTTAGGAGTAGAATTCAGATGCAGGAGAAGAGCATATTTAACAAAGCGGCTGCAGCATTTTACATTCCCACCAATAACGTACAAGAGTTCTAGCTGTTCCACATTCTTGCTCTTAGTATTACTCTGTACCTATGGGGAGAGGACAAAATGCCTAATCCTAATGCCTGAACCAACTGGTTCCAGGACCGAAGAGAATCACATACAATGTTTTGTTTTGTTTCCAGTACTGGGGATCAAACTCAGAACCTTGCCCTTGTGAGGCAGGTGCACTGCCACTGAGCTAAATCTCTGGCCCCATGTACGATGTGTTATTGAAAGATAAAGCTAAGGTTTAAATTAAAAACTTATTACAATAAAAGACACATTGTCAAGAATGATTGGAGAAGTGTTCAAAGCCAAGGGGAGTATTTCGGTATTTCAATGTGTTTTCTACTGTCAGAAATTTTTCAATTTAAACATTCATTGTATGTTTTTATCACACATTGCTGGTCAAATGAGGGTCAAATGGCAATTTCTGTCAAATAGAAACATTATGCTGTGTCCTTATCCTCCTTATTCACAGGATCGGGTACCACGTGACTTCCAGCTCTTCCCCAAAGTCTAAATGACCATGAAAGGTGAAATTTCTGAATCAATTCTGGACATGGAGGCATCCATAGCAGCACAACTAGACACAAAAGAAAACTTCAGACCTGCTTCAGAAAGTGGCAAGAACAATGAGGTAAGTGTGTCTGAAGCAAGGGGGATTCATGGTGATGTGTCTTGTACTGTACTAAATTTTAAAAAGTGTTAATATTCACCATTTTTTTTTGAACTAAGAATCAAAATCAGGACCTTGCACTTGCGTGCAAGGCAGGCAACAACGCCACTGAGCTAAATCCCTGGCTCTATTCACCATATTTTTTGATCACACTGCATATGTTCTTAGAATGAAAGTTCAGTTCTCCCAGTTCTTTTCAGATTGTCTAGTCAGTGCTAAGAGTAATCAGATTCCTAATTGGCAGTGGTGGGGAATAAGTACACCCCAAGATCAAGCTGTTTCCTCTATAATTAGTCTGTAACCCTAATACAACACCGGCTGACAGCGAGTATTAATCTGTATCAGCCGCTGCTCATGCGACAGCCCATGGATCCTCCTAGTGACGTCATGGGATGGGTGCTCTTTGCTTCCATGGGATAAATGGGGACCTGAGAGACTCAGGAACACACTCGCCAAAGCAGCCCCAGCTGCAGAGGCTCAGGTCCAGACACAGATGACTCCAGGCCCAAAGCGAAAAGGTCCAGGCTTCGGCAGAAGTGGGCAGGATGCTAATCACAAGGGGTCCCTGCAGATGGAGACCCACAGAGTGGTGCTGGGCCACACGAGCTTCCATAGAGGGAAATGTAGTGCTCCAAAGGCCCTGGATTCCTGTGTTAGTTTCCCACCATCTGCATCTGCTGCTGCTGAATCACTGCCCACCGGAGTTCAGCAGCCCAGCAGGACTGGTGGCCACCGTGCCTTGATTTCTGCCACATCCTTGCCCAGCCCCATCACATGCCAGTGTGGCCAGCCGGGCCGGGCACATTAGTACTCATCCAGTCCTGCTCCCTCTCCCCACACCCCCTCTGCCATGAGTCCTCCAGGATCTCAGCAAACCTTCATGGGCTCTGAAAAACAAAACCCCAAGGCAAGGCCCAGCTCGGAGTGCTATGGGAGCTGCCAGCTGCGGCCAGCGCTTTCCTCCCAAGATTGGCCTGTAAACAAAATCTTTTTATAGTTCCAGAAGTGGTGCAACACTGTTTTCTCAGCATCAAGGCAGCTGATAGCCCACTGGGGAAATCCAGATGCTTCAAAGCAAAAGATCTGGCCAGAGGGTAGAAACACCCCACCCCACATGCCTGATCCTGTGGGAATCAGCATGGAGACGAGTGGGTGGAGAGGCCCAGCATCCACGTCACCTGGCTGGAGGTGCAGGCCTGGCTCAGCTCTCAAGAGTCAGCCTGAAGGAGCAAGCGTTCGGCCTCATACTCTGAAACACAAGGCCAGGGCTCACACCAGGGCTCTTTAATCCTCACTGACTGGCCCATGGGGCAGCTGGAAGGGTTTCCGACAACACAAACAAGGAAACTGAGACACACAACCTTTAACCTGTTTATGTATAAGGTTGTCAGGAGCCTCTTACTGGAAAGGGCTATTTTTTTTTTTTTGGTACTGGGGATCAAACTCGGGTCCTTGAGTCTGCGAAGCAGGCGGCGAAACCACTGAGCTAAATCCCCGGCCCAAGAGCTCTTTTTTTTGAGGTTATCTTTTTATGTTTAAGTGCCTAAATTACAGTAAGAATAGAAAGTTTTTTATGTTCTTCTTAAAAGACTTTTCTTGTCAAAATTAAGGGACAGAAACCCTATGTCAGCCCTTCCTTCACCTTTCTTTTGTTTCACTGTTTGTTTCTTTTTGTAGTACTGGGGTCCAAACTGCAGTACTGGGGTACTCTATGACTAAACTACACCCCTAGCCTTTTTCACTTTTGTTGTTTTTGAGGCAGGGTCTCACTAAGTTGCTCAGGCAGGACTCAAACTTGGGAGCCTCCTGCCTCAGCCTCCAAGAATGCTGTGATTACTGGTGTGCACCACCACACCAGGCTGCTTTGTTTTCAACGATATAAGTGTGGGAATCACTGTGCATAGGAGGCTCACTGCGCTCTGCACGGCTATGGAAGGTCTTCTTCAGGAAATCTTTTCAGACTCCACCACCTCTAGGGCGATCACACCTGTTCCTCTCTGTGTGTATGGCTGCCTCCCAGGTCTTGACTTGCATGGGACAGAAATTTCATCGCCCCATCTCTGGTTGCCCCCACCTTCTCTGGCAAAGCAATTAAGAGAACATTTACTGAATTTCATCGTTCTGTTCTGTCCTTGCTACCATATGTACTATGGATGACAGGCTACTCACTTGCCAGGACCAGGACACTGAGTGACACTGTGTGCAGGGAGGTGACATACCTGAAGTGCGTGCCGTCCCGGTCGATGAAGTATCGGCCCTCGGCATCAGTGGGGATGTAATGTCGCCCGCTGAACATGGCCGCCAGCATGGTATCCTCATAGCGTCGCAGCGTGGACAGGCGGGTGGTGAAGTGAGCACCTCCGATGTTGAGGGGCACAACCTCGGGAAACTGGAAGGGAACCACGTGGGTGCTCAGGCCAGAGTGGAGAATAAGCACAGGGCTGCTCCAGTCTGGGCAGCCCCACACCCAAAGAGCCATCTGAATGCTTTCCTTGCTCTTTTCTGTTCCCTGTACTCATCAACGGCCACATCCTGCTCATTGTACCCGACAGCTCTTGGGTCAGACCTCCCCACAGCGATCCTGCCATCTAAGTCTTCCTTGTTCTCCTTCCACTCCCCTGACTTATCAACATTAGGTCCTTGTTCACATCTCCTTTGCCCAAAATGCTCTTCCACTCTCCCGGCATCCATCTGGCAAGTGGGACTGCCCAGTGTGGTGCAGGTGGTGAGGAAGGTGTCGATCCAGCCATGTGGCCCTGATTCACACCAAGGCTCCACGCTGCTCCTCTGCAACCACTCAGCTCCACTGTCCGCTCCCTGCCTTAACTACACCCCTCCCCCGTGTCCTCACATATGCTGAACTCCTCTCCTTTACAGCACCTTGTGCTGGTGAGCACGTCTGCTGTCAGCCCATCGTCTCAGTCCCCAAGCTTCCCAAGGGCAAGGAAGCCAGGATGGGCCGCTTGCTGAATGGCTCCAGACCCCCAATCCTCACCATCTAAACCTCACTCGTTCCTCTCCTATTGATCTGCACAGTGAGAAAGATCAGTGCCCCAATTTGGCTAAGGTTCTGGAGGCAAGTGCTGGGTGAGCACAGGAAAATGACGGTGAAGGTTTGCCCTGGGAAATCTAGTTCCCCCTGTAACATGTGGGCGTTTTTTCTTTTTTCAATGGTTTTCACTCCTTGTGGTTTATAGCAAACTGCAACTGAAAGAAATGAGTCCAGTTCTCTAACTTTCCCACAAACTTCCTCCAGATCCACTGACTTTGTCATCCCGGTGCATTCTTTCAATGTTCCATCTCTGGCTCCAGTGAAAGTCTATGTGTATTTATTCAGACAGCCCTTATCCCAATTTCCTTGTAAAATAAAGCAAGCTAGAAATAGATTAATAAAACTCACCCAGGATCCAGTTCATGGTAAAGAGCTAACAGTCCCAGAATAAATGAATGAAGCAGCCAGGCGTTCCGATTCCCTGTATATATGGGTGGTCACTCTCGCACCCAGAGGCAACCGGGAAGGGATGGATGGCTGCTGCTTTTTCTACATGTTATCTAAATGCATTTCCTGTACACACCAAGGTCTTAAAAACTGTTTCACATTTCAGGAGCTCTTTCAACTTTTCCAGGATATTTCACATCATCCACGTGTTTGCTCCATGTTAGAGAATGAGAAGGTGAAGCAGAGAGGGACAAAAGTAATTGAGAACGGAGTTTTAGAGCTCACAGGAGTGATGTGAGCCACAGTGCAGCTGGAACTGGAGGTCTGGCCTATAGCCTATGGGGTTCGAGCCTTTTCCCTTAAACCACATCTTCTGCCCAATGACAAGGCACAAAACATAGCACCACTGTGTCTCTATTGGCTGTTTGTCCAACTGCAGAATTGGGAAATTCAGCTTATTTTCACAAGCTTCCCATGATGTTGGGAGTTTGCCGTGTCTAATCCGAACTCGACTCTCTGCTGCAGACAGCCTAGTGCAGCCCGGCACCACTGGGGCTCTGTCCCTTCTCTAGGCATCACATTCGCCTCCTGGTCTCCACCAACTGAAGTGTCCACCATCCCTGCCATTTTCTTCTAAGGGTTCATGGACATGACGGAGTCACACCCATTAAGTGAGCCTAGTGAAGCTACTGCGTATCACGGCTGGCTAGTGCAAAGCCATGGGGCTGTCATATCTATTCATCAGCCTGTTCCTGGTCAGTGTGGCCACTGTCAGTTTGGAAAGTACTGAAAGATTTAAAGGATTTCCAGGCAGCTGGAAAGTGGGGTTTGGGCAATCCACGCCTCCTTTTGTTATGAGTATTTTTTTTTTCTTTTGTAGCACTGGAGATTGAACCCAGGGCCCCTTGAGCATGCCAGGCTAGCATCCCACCACAAAATTACACCGCAGCCCAGGCTTCCTTTTAATATATACAGATATGTACCACATACATATTTATATATATTTACTTATATACTTATATAGTCGTCTTGATCTCTCTCTCAGTACTGTATTGGGGATGGAACCCAGGACCTGGTACATGGCAGGCTAGCACCCTACCCCGAAGCTGCACCCCCAGACAAGGCCTCCTTTTGGTCTCTTCTCTCCACCTCGCTTCTCTGGCTGCAGGGTCGGAACACCCAAGGGAGCTGAACCCGCCCTGCGGTCGGTCTGTGAGCACCCGTAGGGAGGCAGGTGCATACTGGGCGCCCAGAGCAGCTCAGGCAGGAGGACCCCGCCCCCGCCCCGCCCCCTCCCCTCAAAGTCAGCGGGCCCCGCCCCCAGCCCCCCATCCGGGTACCTGCTGGGGCAGCAGCGGCAGCGCGTCCCCCGCCTGCGTGGCCGTCGGGGTGGCCGGTTCTAGAAAGTCGTCCTCGGCGTCGGAGCTGGACATGGCACCGTCCTGGCAACGGCTGTCTGGCTCCCGCCCCGTGACTACCACCATCCCTCTGACTCTGGGCGGTGGGCGCGGCTTCGGCCGGCCGCGGGCGGGCGGGAGAGAGGGGCCCGGAGCTAGCGCGCAGTCGGAGGGCGGTGACTCCCTCCGTGCGGACCAGCGCGTCTACCCGCGCCGTGCAGGCGGCCTGACCCGGCCGCCTCCTGCTATTAGTCGAGGTCTCGCTGGCTCCGCCCTGATTGGCAGGAAGCTCCGCCAGCCACAGAGGCCGCTCGTTCGGCAGGCGCCGGAGTGGCCAGTGGGAGCGGGGCCTGCTGTCCTCCCCTTCTATGATTGGTCATCTGGTGGGCGGGCGCGCGCTCTCGGGCCTCCCTCGGGCAGGTTGGGCGGGGCTGAGAGGAAGACTCCGAGGTAGACGCCCTGGCAACCTTCGCCGGAGGATGCCCTGGAAGAGGACTCTGGTCCCTGACGCTGCGATAGCGGCTGGCAACCACCAGGGCGCCGGATTCCTGGGTTTCCGGGGCTTCCCCATTGACTCGCGCTCGAATCCGAAAAAGGAAGCCCCAAACCCGATCGCATCCTCCAGCGAAGGTTGCCAGGGCGTCTACTGCAGACCTCGATTAATAATGACAGCGACTCCCCATGGTGACAGGTCCTTCCCGGGCGCCAGGACCCCCGTCCGCCCAGATGAGGACTGGCTCTTCCCGAAGAAGCTCCCGGGTCAGCAATCCAACATGGCTCTGCTGTGTGACTCCTGTCTGGGGCTAGGTCATCTCAGGAGCCCTGTTGGAGATCAAGGTTTTTAGCTTTATTATTTTTTTTCTACAAGTTTTACATTTTGTTGTATTTCTTTAGTCTTTTTAAAAATTACCTGGTCTGTGGGCATGGTGGCGTATGCCTATAGTCTCAACCCTCTAGGAGGCAGAGGCAGGAGGACCACAAGTTTGAGCTCCGCCAAGGCAACTTAACTTAACGAGACCCTGTCCCCAAAATGAAAAAAGGGCCTAGGGATGTAGCTCAGTACAAAGGCCCTGGCTTCAATCCCCAGTACCACAAAAAAACAACACAATCAAACCAGAGCAAACCAAACCAAAAAAACCCTGAGATAACCAAAAGGCTAGGAGAAACTGGCTTTATGATAATCATCCTATGATGTTGTTTTTAAAAATACTAATCTTAGGGCTGGGGATTTAGCTCAGTGGTTCTGCCGCCTGCCTGGAAAGTACAAGGTCCCGGGTTCAGTCCCCAGTACCAAAAAAAACCCCACCTAATCTTATTTGTTATTAGTGTATGTTTGTAATATATAATAATTGTGTTAATTTCAGAACATGTATATAACATACAGTATCTTGATCACAGGAAAACTCCACCTTTTTGAAATCTAGCTACTCTTTGTTACATTCTTTGACCTGTTATCTATAATTCCTTAGAAGAAATCATTCTAGAACTAATTGTAATAGCCATACACAAGCTGCCTACAATGCCTCTACGTTTGTATTAATAAGTTCTATTCAGGGGTACAAGGCAACCAAATAAAGCATGGCTGTCAACCAAGGGGAAAAAAATATGTGGTCTGCATTTCACAATGCTCTATTTTTATGTTTTTACTACATGTTTGCTGCACATGACGATTACATTCCTCATGGGGAGTTGGTAACACATCTTAATTCTTTTTACTTCCTCCTGCCCTTTCTCCCGCCAAACCATTTTCACACCCAGTTCCTCATATGGTTCTGACAGTAAAAGAAACAGAGGCCTAGTGGGATTCCCAGTCCCACACCTGGAGAACCTGATTTGGTTCTTCTGTATTTTGCTTCTCCAACAAACTCCTGGGTCACTCTCATCCCGAAGGTCCAAGAAGCACACATTGGGTATCACTGCCTTAAGAAGTTCCCTTAAGGTTTTGTCTTAGCCACCATTTCATGCCTCTCGAAAAAATATATAACATGTTCCTCTTTCCACCCTTATGAAAATTAGGATGTTTCAGAAATTCCAACAGGAAGTGGCTAAGAAAATTTTGGTCTTTTTTTTTTTTCTGATACCTGGAAATTGAACTCAGGACCTTGTGCTTGCCAGGTAGGCGGGTGCCACTAAGCTAAACCCTCAGCCCTTAGCTAAACCCTCAGCCCCTTAGATAAGAGAATTTTATCATCTTACATAACAGGAAATCCGAGCAGACCCAGGCTTGGTTCATGAATGATAAAGTTACTTGGACCAGCTTCCTTTGTTTATCCACTCCTCACCCCCAGGAACCCCATATGAACTAAGGGGCTATCGGGGAGACATCTACAGCAACACCCTACAGCAAGGTGAGTAAAGAAAATGGGAAATGGGCCCAGAGGGTGAGAAGGTAGGAGGAGGGGGAAATTCCTGTGCTATCAGTGAGGATTTCTGTCAGGAATGTAGTTTCCATTGATTTTGTTTATCCACTGTGGGTAAATCCAAGGTCAACAGGCTGGAATGAGGGCTAGGAAGGGGTTGGAAGCAGGCTTTCTGGAAAGGCCCTGGGAGGTTGCTGGCAGCAACTGTCCACCACCCAACCCTCGTGGAAGGACCTCTGGGCCAGCTCGCAGGGAGCTACAGGGAAGGGCCGGGGGGCCTGGGAGCAGGGGTGGGCAGTACAGGCCATGAAGCCCTTCTCTGAGAATACAGGCAATTGGAACAAGTGGTCCCATAGGCCTCGTGCCCTGAGATCAAATAACTGCATGTAGTCTGTTTTCTGCCATGTCTTCCCAAAGAAAGAACTTCATTTTCTTTTAGAAAGAACTTTTGAATGTGGGTAGATCTCCAAAGTGCTGATTCAGCTTCTAATTTTCTCTCCTAATTTTAATTGGTTGAATAAATATTTTACCAGTAAAGGAAATTAAAACAGGAAGAAGCTAGGTGTGGTGACATGCCTATAATCCCAGAACTCTGGCAGGCTGAGGCAGGAGGGTTGTGAGTATGGGCCCAGCTGGGGCAATTTAACAAGTCAGTGATACTCCGTAGCCTGCGACCAGTTCAGGCTGGGGAAGTTCATTTGAGATAGGGGCAGCTGGAAGAGGACACTCGGAGTCGTGGGAACATCGTGACCTGCCTTTATCCTCAGCTGCCCGGCAGCTCAGCTCACCTTGTCTGCCCAGGCACTCAGCCGTAGTTCATCCTTTGATATAGCACACCCACTCGCTGCAGTCCTTAGCCCCAAGCTGAGCGCTCTCGAACACAGTCTTAGCTTTTCTCAGCCACTTGGCCCTCGTAGCAGTCCAGATTTATATTGACAGTGCACAATAGCGGGCTCATGGCAGTATCCACCTGGTAGGCAAGTTATTACACCGAGTGTACTGGTGCGCCTGCACAGCGATCCCGCTGGTTTAGGACTTCTCCTCCTCTGGAAATCAAACCCCCATCCCCAGCCTGAACCCTAGTGTAGTCACCCTGGGCTTCATTTTTCTCTACATCCTGTCTCAAAATAAAAAATAAAAAGTAGCTGACTGCGAAGACCCTAGTTTCAATGCCCAGTTTCAAAAAAAAGAAAAACAAGCATCCATTTTTCATCTTATCTTCTTTTAAATTTGACTTAAATATTTTAGACATACAAAGAATTACAGATAATAATAAAATCCAGTAGTCATCACTCACCTCATGAAACACAAAGTGAAGCCCACAATCTGCACAGACCTCTCTAAGGTCAACCCTCCCAGTAGGATGTGTTGTTCCATGCATGTCTTCCATTTAGTTGTGATATGTGATACAGAGAAATGCAAAACTGTAGAGTAGGAAGGGTCCCTACACAGGACACTGACACCCATGTAACCACCACTGGGTGAGGAACAGGCCGGCCCTGCTGCCACGCCCACCAGGGCTCCTCCCTGATGAAGTCACCTCTGTCCTCGTGGGTCTGTCAGTCATTTCTTTGTTTTCCAAGTTTAACCACCCAAGCAACCACCTCCAAGCAATGCAATTTGATCTTAGCTGTTTTAGGATTTGAAGTGAATGGAATCATATTGTCCATGCCACTGTTGATGAATAATTATTTCCCAGGGTCAGGCTATGACAAACAGTGCTGCTATGAACGTCTGTCACACGCTGCTCTAGACATTTTATGTCAGAGAATATCACTCTCCACTTAAAGCTCTTGAAGTTACACCTTTCTCTTTGCCCCCCTGTGGAGACCAAACCCAGGGCCTGGCACAGGCTAAGCATGTGCTTTATCACTGAGCTACACCCCACCCCGGGGAACCTCTCTTTCTGAAAGGAAGTGAAGAAAAATATTTGGGCTAGATGTGGTGGCACACACCTATAATCATAGTACCTGGGAGGCTGGAGCAGGAGGATCATCATGACTTGAAGGCCAGCCTCAACTGCATGGTGAGACTCTGTTCCCTGGGTGTGAGTGCTGCTCACCCTAAGGCCAGGCGGGTAGCCTGGATAGAATATAAGGGACAGAAAGAGTGTCACTGTTTGTTGCTTGCTGCTTTGCCGCTAGCTGCTCACTGCCTTCTGCCTGCCCTGCCATGGACTGTTTCTCCTTTGCCATGCCACCCTACCTTGGCGCCAGCTTACTATGGACTGAAACCTTTACAAACTATGAGCCAAAATAAACCTTTCCTCTTTTAAGTCTGGGTGTTGAGTATTTTGTTTCAGCAACAAGAAAAGTAACTAAGACATCTTCTTTCTCCCTTTTTATGTCTTCTGTCCTACTTCACTACCAGGCATCTCTTTCTACCCACTCAGAAACTGTGGGGAGATTTTTTTTCAAAAGGGGAGAGAAATGGAGGGTGGGGGAAGGAGACGAGAGAAAATATTTTTGTTTGTTTGTTTGTTTTTGTTTTTTTGAGACAGGATCTTGGTTTGTAGTTCAGGCTGCCCCTGAACTTACTATGTAGCCGAGGCCTTGAACTTGTGCCAATCCTCCTGCCTCAGCCTCCTGAGTGCTGGGATTACAGGCATGTGCCACCATGCCCAGAGGGAAAAGATATTTTTAAAAAGAATTGAATGGAAAAAATGGAAATAGAGCTTTGGCAAATGAGAAGGGGATCAAGAGTTGGATGGAGCAAGGAGGGAAGAGAGGGATAGTGGACAAGAAAAGAATTAGGACGTCTTAGGTTCATGTACCAACTCCCTACAATAAATGCAATCATTATGTACTGTAAGCATACACTAATAAAAAAGAAAGAAGGAAAGAAACTAAGATGTGAGGGTGGGAGGGGCCTGCGTCTTTCAAAGGCAGATAAAGCATTCAGGAAAAAACTCAACTGGCCAGTTGGCCTCCAGCTCTGCAGTCCTAGCATTGGTTTGGTACTGCCAGCGGAGCGCTCTCTTAGATTGCTGGAGGCCTTAAGGCATTGTGAAACCCCATCCCAAGGTGATATAGGATTAAAATACTCTAAGATTATTAAAACTTGTCAGGATTGGAAAGCCATATGGTTTCTGTCTCAACTATTCAACTCTGTAGGAAACCAATCACAGACAAGACAGAAATAAATAGGTGTGACCAGATTTGGTCATAGTTTTCGAAGCCCTGAACAGAGAAAGCAATAAATCCTAGCCTCACTGTGATAGTTTCAAATCCAACTCCATCTGAATGTCCTAAGAGCTGATGCTCTGCTTCATTCCCCATTCAAGTTGCAATTATTCACTTATGAAGAACATGAATAAGTCTTGAGATTATTAATATCACTAATTTTTTTCACCAAAAGGGTTGGCTAAATAATGAGTCATTAGAAAATAAATGAGAGTTAAGTTAGGTCTACCTAACATGTCACCTTGGGTAAGTGACAGGATTACTCAAAACCACACTTTTTAATCTGAAAAATTAGGGGTTCAATCTCTAAATTGTTTTTCTTCTAAAACCTTCAATTTTTACAAAAGTAATTCATGTCACCAGGGATTTAGCTCAGTGGTGCCACTGCCTGCCTCGCAAGGGCAAGGTCCCGAGTTTGATCCCTGGTACCAAAAATAAAGTAATTCATGTCAATCAGAGCACATTTAGAAAACAGAAATCAGAAAGAAGACCATAAAAATCCCCTCCTGTGTACCACTGCGAGATCCCACCGTTAACATTTTATATATATAGACAACTTTCTGTTGTCTGTTGAATTAGTGATTCTACTTATTTTTCTATCCTTTACTAATGAAAATGGATGCATGCTAAACAACTTTGCGATCTCAAATTCTCACTGTAAAATGAACATTTCCCTGTGTTAAGTATTTTTCTCAGTCATCTTAATTATTAGCTGAGTAGTGGATGTACCATAATTTAACCAATCCTTCTATTATTATGTTTCCAATTTTTTGTTTTAGAAACTATACTGCAGTGGACTTTTTGTGGAGAAAGCTTTCAATACATCCATGATAAATTTCCCTACTTTTCAACTTTAAAACTTTCATAGGTACAGCAGTCATTCTGTGTTTGGCCAACAGAGGGCATCTGAGGTTTTTTTTCCTTCTCAGCAAGGCCAGGAGTCCATTTCTACATGACAATAACAAAAAAGTGGTTTCATCATGAAAATTACTCAATTTTGGGTCTTCAATAATATTAAACCCAAAAAGAAGCATAAAAGTCATTAATTTTTCTAACGTATTAAATACAACATACACACCCCCAACACTCAATAAACTTGCTTTGTTAGGACTTAAACCCTTAAGGAATAACAACAACCTCTTTTGCCCAATTCAGAATAGCTGAGGGCGTCTTCTTTAGTTTGTGCAAAGACACAAAGTCTCTGCAGATGACTGTACTGAATAGTGACAAAACTATTCAGGGAAACCGACTCAATCCTGAAAATACTGACTTTGCCTGAGAAAAGCTCAGCTAAATCTCAGGATTTGTGCCGCCCTGAAAAACTAGATTTTGAGGCAACACTGAATGGAAGTTTTGCCTTGCCCATTTCTTAAGGATGACCTACCAACCAGGTTTTGGTAAGTAAACTTTACATTTTGTTACATAGTATGTGAAATAGGAGTTTCGTGTATATTTTTCTTGAATTTTTCACCAAGATGTTGAAAGTCCCAAGGGCAATGATCTGCCTACATTTTAGGGCACTCACAGTGTCACCTACCAAATTACTAAGTGGAAGAGGGTTACTTAAAAAGTTGTCACTCAGCACCAATCATGCGTTTCCATTCTCTTATTCAGAGGTTGAATAATGGTTAAGACGAAGGCTCTGGAGTCAGGCTGCCTGTGTTGGTCTCCTGACCACCACGGACTTGTTGGGCAAGTTGGGCAAGGCACTTCACCTCCCTGAACCAGTGCTTTATCATCTCGCCAAATGTAGATAGAAACAGTACTTGCCCAGGTGGGTGGTTGGGAAAATTGCATGAGTTTCAACAGGTCAAGAGGTTAGCATTGGGCCTGGACCACAAACAGCTCTGGGGAACTGTTATTAGAGTATTAACTAAATGATTATTAAGGTTATTTTCAGTCTCAAATGCTAAACTTCATGGCTGATGCTCCCACCAAGCTCCTCCTATAGCCCTGAAGACAGCAGCACAGCAGCCTTTCCCTGGCTTCCCAGAGTCCTCTGGGGCTGTGGCTATGTGGGGGCCAGGAAGCTCTCTGACAACCATAGGCCCTGTTTCTACATGCCTGGCCCCTTTCTTTCTATCTCTCTCTGTCTCTGTCTCTCCTGTATGCAGATTGAACCCAGAACATTTGCAATAAGTGATATATCAGCCCTTTAAGATTTTTTTTTTCCAATACTGGGGATTGAACTCAGGACCTTGCACTGGTGAGGCAGGCGTGGTGCCACTGAGCTAAACCTCTGGTCTTCCTTTTTAATATTTTGAGACGGGGTCTTGCTAAGTTGTCCAGGCTGGGTTTAACTTGTAATCCTCCTGCCTCAGTCTTCCAGAATGCTTCGATTACACCTGGCTGCCTGGTAGACATCTCACATTTCACACTAGCCATCATTTGTCTGTTCAACAGGAATTCCATTTGATTGCATAAATCCTAACATTTCACAAATGAAAGGGATCTTTACAAAATGCTGATGGTGATCCATTGGAACAGAAATGCTATTCTTCAAAGCTCAAAATAAATGTGCTCAGATCGAAAAAAAAAAAAAGGCTTTGTGAAGAAAAGGGAATCAGGGCTGGGGACTTAGCTCAGTGGTTTTGCCACCTGCTGCACAAACACAAGGACCGAAGTTCAATCCCTGGTACCAAAAAAAAAAAAAAAAAGAAAAGGGAATCAACTGGGGTGGAGATGCCACAGTGTTCACTTCTCCAGGCAGCTGGGAACAGAGGGTTTCCTCTGGGTCCACCGTTGTGTGCAGTGGTTTTCTGCCCTGTTCTAAGCACCCATCCTCAGCAGTGGACTCCCAAGGGGAGCAGGATGGGGAAACAACTTGTTAGGGTTGTGTCTAGATGTTCCCTCAAAGCCTTATGTGGTCATAGGTGGGGCTTTTTTGGAGACGGCTGGATCCAGAATGTGTGATGCTGGGATCAAGGGTATGATTATTAAATCAGGCCACTGAATTGTTTGGCATAAGGGTGGGTAGCCTGGCTAAGATAGAAGGGACAGAAAGAGGGTCACTGCTTGTCACTTGTAGCTTACTGCTTACTGCCCTGCTACCTTCTGCCTGCCATGAACTGTTTCTCCTTTGTGATTCCTCTCTGCCATGCCACTCTCCCTTATAGCCAGCCAACTATGAACTGAAATTTCTACAAACTGTGAGCCAATTAAACCTTTCCTCCTTTAACTCTGGGCATCTAGAATTTTGTCTCAGCCACAAGAAAAGTAACTAAAACACAGCTCATGCATTTCTTAGGCACAGATGTCAGTACATGGTGGGGTTATACTTAAAGATGCTTTTCCCTCGTGTTCTCATGGGCTCTAGGGGGTATATGTCCTCTTCTCCACGGAAGACTAACACAGGAAGGAAGTAGCTTCCATCTATCTGTCTGTCTATCTGTCTGTCTGTCTATCTACCTATCTACCTGGCATCTATCTAATACGCTGAAGCAGATCTTACTGCTATTTGGAGGTTGGAGCAGATGACTAAGACTTCATGAAGAAACAGCACTTAAGATAGCTGAACCCTTAATGAGGCTGGGATCCCTGGGTCAGGGGAAGGGGTGGATGTATGGAAGAAGCAGTGCAGGCAGAAGAGTGTAGACATCAATGGATGAGGCATTAGAGACCAAGGCTTTCAGCAAGGAGTGACTTACAATGGTGTTGAATGCAAGGCTGATCTGGCAGCAGAATTAATTTTAAATTGAAGGGGCCAAGGCTGGGGGAGTCAGGTGGAAAGGGCATCAGGGTCACGCTTGGGCCTGGATGCCAGGTCACCATAGCAACAGCTGGGGTGTCTTGTGTGAGTCAACCTGCCTGAGCCTCTCTTCCTCATCTGTAAAATGGAATGTATGTCAGGAGGTTCCTGGGCGGGTGAATCGTTTACCAGGGTTTTACTGGGTTCCTAGAAAGTGCCAGATACTTTGCTAGGTGGTGGAGTACAAAAGTGAATCCAGGAACTGTCTACTATAAGATAGACAACGAAAATGTCAACAAAGAGATTACAAATTACCGTGTTATAAGAAGGCAGGCAGAAGCTGGGCCCATTGGGGGTACACACCTATAATCCTTGCATGGGAGACTGAGGCAGGAGGATTGCAAGGGTAAGTCCAGTTTAGGGAACTCAGCAACTTGATGAGACCCTGTCTCAACACTTAAAAAAAGGGACTGGGAATGTAGCTCAGTGGGAAGGCCCTGGGTTCAATCCCAGTACAGGAAGTCAGAGAAGAAGCCAGGCAGGCAGGAGGGACATCTACTTTGTAGTTGAAGAGGCCAGGGAAAATCTCTCTGAGAAAACTCACAGCTGCCAGAGCATTGAGAAGGTGGCTGTCAGACAAAAAGCAAAGGGCAGACGCCCCAGAGAGGGCTCCCAGGCACAGAAGCCAGGAAGAGCCGGCTGTATTCCCGGAAGGGCAAAGAGGCCTAGAACCAGGGTCCGAGGGGAGGCGGGTGCGAGATCAGGAGTGCAGGGCTTTGAGCGGCCAGGACAGGAGATGGTGAGGACCTGGGATGGGAGGCGCTGACCTGGAGGTGCTGACCAGAAGTATCAGGCAGGAGCAGGACCCAGAACCTGGCTATCTGCTGTCACAGCTGCCGATGTCCTACAGCAGGGTGGGGCAGAGGAAGCAGAGGGAGGCGGACGGAGCAAAGATCCTGTGTGAAGGGGAAAGAGGGAAGAAAGGGTGAAGTCAATATGACTCAGGTTTCTGGCTGGGGTGAGAGCATAGAAAATATTGCACTTCAGACACGGATGTGGGTGGAGGAGGCCAGGTTTTAGGGCCTGGATTACATGTAAAATCCCTCTCAGTGCCAGGGGGAATGGGGTTCCTATTATCTGTCAGCTGGAGACAGTAACTTCCTGTCCTTAAACACAGTGGGCCAGCATGAAGTAGGGCGGGGGTTTTAAAAATGGGTGGCAACAGTTCTGAAATAAATGACAGAAAACTTCCCTCAGAGCCCTGACGGCTGGAGGTGAGCAGCTACCTCAGAGCCGGCAAGGAAACTTGTTTAACACAGCGTCATGCGGTAATGAAAACACGTAACTACAAGAATGCTTCATGTTGAAAGCTTTTATTTTGAAAAATAAAATACAAAAGTCATTAAGTTGTAAATGTATATACGGTGCTTTCCCCACTTTTCAGAAACAATACAATGAATTAAATAATTAAGGTTTAATACTATCCACATCAATACACTTAAACAGGCACAATGTTCTACAAAACACTGGGACATGTATGGACCACCTACTCTGACACGCAGCCACCCGATCCTGGTTAGAGAACGCCGTTTAAAACCCTGCCCTAAGAACAAAGTGTGGAATCCAGTGAAGGAAAGATGAGGCCGAGAGCGATTTAGAGAAAGCACATGTCCCCTTGGGCGCCGGCCCCAGGGCGCTGTGGTTGTGGGGTCCAGAGCGAGCCCCCAGCCAGCGGGTCCCTCGGGGGCCGAGAGGAGAGTGGGCGCCAGGCGGGCTCAGCTCAAGGACACCGGCAGGTGAGCAGGACACAGACCCGGGCTGGTCACGGTGCACACGGCCACCTCCCTCAGCAGGGGACATCGGTCCCAGAAACCCTCTTGCTGACGAGGCAGCTGTCTCTCCTAGGGCAAACAGACCAAGAGTGTTACGGGTGCAGAGTCCCTGTGCGCTCTCCCTGTGCCACCAGCGCCCCTCCCCAGCTGGTGCCTGGCAGCCAGGCAGCAGGGGTAGAGGACCGACCAGGAGGAGCCCAGCTGCCCAGAAGGAGGGGCTGCACGGGAGGCCTCGGACGCCTGCAAGAAACTTCTCTGCGCAAAACACACCACAGCGGCCAAAGTCAGGGCTGCCCTGCCCGTTTCTCAGCGACCCAACCTTCATCTGCAGCGGAAGCCACGGCAGGGGCAAGGGTGCTGGGACTGAGGGTGCAAAGGTGGCCAGGCTGGCCCTGAACCACGGAAAGAGCAAATACTTAGGTTCTTTAGAGAACAGCGATGATTGTGCAACTGTCAAGGCGTACAAAAGACCGGAAGACAGGATCTCTCCTAAGGTGCTTTCCCGGCTTCCCAATCTCCTGAGCCTGCATTGGGTTCCCAGGGGCCCCCATAAGTGAACCAGGTGGAAGGCTGCTGCCGGCCAGCGTGCAGCACGCTCTGTCCCATGAAACCTGGTCACTCAGTGGGTCCCAGTATGTGTGTGGGGGTGGGTGGCGCATTTCCTGTACATTTATGTAGGCAACATCACCCCAGTCTAAGAGCTGCCATTGCCCGTCCCTACCCATGTAGTTTGCACCCCTCATCCAGCATGTGCTCCTTACCAAGAAGGCGGCTGTGGTTCTGAAACCTGTTATCAGCTCAGGGACACCCATGCTCTGACATGACAAAGAAGTCTCCATGGGCTTATGTTTACAATCCATTCAAGTCACAAACATCTCTCGTTCCAATTACTCAACTTCAGCTTCCTTGTGTAGTACAACAGGAGGAAGAGCACTTACCAGAAGCCTTGAGAACTGAATGAAATTGTAAACACATTCTATATTATCCATTACATATGTCATGTCATATGTAAATATTATACATATTTATGCGTGGCTTACATGGTTATTATGTAAAATAAAATAAAGCTTTCTGCTGCCACTGCCATCTTCCAGTAATTAGGCAAAATGACAAAAGGAGAGAGGAGAGGCACCCGATGTATGCAGAGAGCATGGATCTGCGCCTTTGTGCACACGTGCGAATCTGCAAGCAGGGCAACTGGGGACGCCAGGCACTGTGCAAAAGGAAGCCCATGCTGGTCCAGGCACGACGGAAGTCCACAGTGTCACCCAGCGCTGGCAGGCAGTGTGAACAAGCTGGCGCCAGGCGGATTCCTGCCAGGAGATGAACGGGGCCCCTGAGCACACTGCGCCTCCAAGCGCTGAGATGGCTTCCTGAAACTCGGGAAAGGAAAAGATCAGAGCAAGCAGGAAGCCAGAGAGAAAGGGGCCTGGGGTTGAGTGAAGCGCAGCCTGCTTAGCCCAGGAAGCCCTGGTGGGAGCTGAGCTGCTGGGGACTGTTCCCTTACAGGTTCCTGGCATAACAGGTATAAAAAATGGATTGCGAAAATGGTTTTTTAATTGACTAGAAGTATAGCCTCCCCTCCTCCAAAGATCACTTAAAGCAGTAAGTAAATACCAAGCAAGCAAAACTATGAGAAAAGAAATCATCAGGATTTTAGAAAAGCTTTCCAAGTTCCAAATGATCTAAGCCATCAGCACATCATTCAGAGCCAAAGAGAATTCTAAGAACATCTGGGGGGTGTGAGCAGCTATGTCAGGAAACCTGAGTTCAAACCCAGCTTTGTCACCCAGGCACTGTGTCCTGGCCATATGTCCATGCATGTAGACAGAATTGGGGCTCAGAAGGCCTGGCTGCTACAAAGCTCAGCCCTTAGCTACAAAGAGACAACACAAGGTACATCATCATATGGTAACATGACCAAGGGTGGGCTTGGAAAAACAACCAATTCTTCAGAAATAGACCAATTAGTGCAAACACTTTTGCACTACATCTAGCGCACAGACAAGCAGCGAGGGGTGGCTGGAACGGCCCTGGCCAAAAGGCGAGAGATGGAGCTCTTTGGCTCTAAGTGTCCCGAACTCTGTGACAAGACCTTGAGACGAACAGCTGCTCCCTCCAGCATCGGGGTTCTCATCAGCAAATAGGCAATGGGGCTTGGCTGTCCCCAGGTCCCCCAGTGCTGACTTACTGTATAATTTTCAATCCTTCATAATAAAAGTGACACCTACTGCTATTTACACGCTCATTTGGGCTCTCTAAAGGTATTATTATGGGTAATCTTACCAACAACCTAAAAGATGAGAGCTTAGTTTATTCACTTTATAGAAGAGGCAGAGACACCGAGGTTAAGTGACAGTCTCGTGACATAGCTGGGATTCCAACCCAGGCAGCCTGGTTCCAGAGCTGGGCTCCACCTGCCCATGCCGCCTCTGAGGAAGGCCCAAGCAGGAAACCTGAAACCCAGCAATGTTCCCAACCTCACCTTGCGTGGGAAAGATGTTCCAGGCTCTGCTACTCCACTTGCTCAGTCTGCTAAAAGAAGCAAAAGACGTTTAAAGCCTATGAGATTGGTCAGCATGAGAAATGACCGCCCCTTCTGGGACATCAGCAGTAGCTTGGAGACTCACAGACTTCCAAATAAACTTGGCCTGCGACTGTTGTAAAATAAATAGAGAATTTCTCTGGGCTGGGTGGTGCCTATGATTCCAGCACTGAGGGAGGCTGAGGCTGGAGGATCACAAGTTTGAGCCTCACCTAGGCAACTTAGTGACTTACCAAGACCCTGCCTCAAAAAATAAGCTGCTAGCTATACCTCAGCCTCCGGATTAACATTTTTTTTGAGACAAGGTCTTGCTATGTAGCTCAGGCTGGTCTTGAACTCACTATGTAGCCCAAGTGGGCCTCGAACTTGCAGCTATCTTCCTGCCTCAGCCTCCCAAATGCCAGGATCACAGGCAGCACCACCATACCCAGCTAATTTTTTTTTTTTTTTGGTACCAGGGATCGAACTCAGGTCCTTGCGCTTGCGCAGCAGGTGGTGAAACCACTGAGCTAAATCCCCGGCCCCAGCTAATTTTTTAAAGAATAAAACTGATGAGCTTCAATCTCTCACATTCTTCCTGAGGGACAATGGCTGGGTGTATAGTCTATTCAGCAGTCTTCTAGGGTCCAAAAGAAAAAGGTTAAGTAGCCTGTGCGCTTAGTAAGAACACAGAGGATGGCTGGACATTTCATTGCAAATTAGATAATCGGAGGCCGGGCACAGTCACCAGTGCACACTCCTCACTTGCGAAGTACCGTGTGCTAGTGCCTGACCTCATTAGCAAACAGATTTTACCTCTCAATAAAGTATTTTCCTAGCTTCGGAGGGTACCGAGCTCTCTGAAATTAAGATGCTATTCGGTGACTGTTAGAATTAACAAATACCAGACATCAATCTTTCTACCACCAGCACCAATCATTATCTCTTTTCTTTTTTGAGTTTTTGTTTTATTTCCTTTTATTTATTTATCTTAAATTTTTATTTTTACTTTTTTTTTTTGGTACCAGGGATCAAACTCGGGTCTTTGCGCTTTACAGGCCGCAAAACCACTGAGCTAAACCCCCGGCCCTCATTTTATTTAAAAAGAATACTTCGATGCAAGAGCTAATCTCGTTAGGACAAGAGGAGAGCAGATGCAGTAAACAGCGTACCTGGGCTTTGTCTTTAAGGAAGTCAGGGAGCTGAAATTCTCCTTTATAGACCTGGAAAGAGACAAAGCAGGTGTGAGCCAGGGAAACAGGCCCTGTCATCGAGGGAGGACACAGGTGACGCCTGCTATCGATCGGGTTGCGGCTTCAGTGCTGGTGGGCTGAGGATGACACAGACGCAGCACTGGACAGAGCCCCGGTCCCTGGATCTGTCCCGCCCGGGCCACCCGGTGCTCTGGAGCAGCTGCGAGGAGAGGGCTTGGGCTCCCTAAGGAAGCAAAAGGCCCCAGACCTCCCAGTTTCGGTCACCTTGGCCGAGAGAGCCTGTAGGGCAACCTCAGAATCCACACAGCTCAGGGCCATGCCTCTTGGCTGCGTTCTGAATTCTCCAGGTTTTAGCACTGGATATAATCAAACTTTACCTTCCTCAATTTACCCATTAGTCCCTCAACGATTTTAATATAAGGTGACTCTTTTTTTTTTTTTGGTACTGGGACTGAACTCCGGACCTTGTGTTTGTGAGGCAGGCGGGGCAACACTGAGCTATATCACAGCCCTATAAGGTAACTCTTAAAGTGATACATTCTTTAATCTCAAAAAATCTTGTAACAAAAACTTATTTTCAATATATAAAAATATTTCTAATACAAGCAGTAATTATGAAATAATTTTTTAAAAATAGCATTTATAGTAACATCAAAAATCCACCGATACCTAAGAATAAATATAATAAAATATATGTATAACTTTTACATGACAAACCATAAAACATTATTGAGAGAAATTAAGGACCCAAATGAATAAAAAGGTATACCACTTTTGGGTATAGGAAGATTCAAAATAGTAATGATATCCATTCTCCTTAAATTATTCCCAATCAAAATTCTAGGTTTTTTTGTGAAAAGAGAGGGATAGGGCTGGGGATTTAGCTCAGTGGTTCTGGCGCCTGCCTTGCAAGCGCAAGGTCCCGAGTTCGATCCCCAGTACCAAAAAAATAAATAAATAAATGATGTGGGCTGGGGATTTAGTTCAGTGGTTCCGCCACCTGCCTCACAAGCAGAAGGTCCTGAGTTCGATCCCCAGTACCCAAAAAAACCAAAAAAGCCCCCAATTACTTATAAAAAAAAACCAAGGGGGTGCTGCCTGGGAATTTGCTTCTTTCAGTACCCTCTAGGGAACAGATGTCTTAAAAGGACTCCAAAACTGACAAAAAGAACACTTTCCACTGACAAAGCAATTTCTATTTAGTGCATGGAACCAATTACTACACTGTATGTAAAAATAGCAAAGTTGGGAACTGAGTTTCCTTTAGTTAAATGAACAGTGTTTGGGGGCTTACTGTTCTCTCAAGCACTGAAAGTCTGAGGATGCTGCTCCCCAGCAACAGGTGGGATACTCAGAATCCAATGTTTCCACAGAGCCTCCACCTCAAGCACTGAAGAAATAAGGAGACAAAAGTAGGCTGCTAGTCTGGAGGGCACGAGGGCATTTAAAGTAGTAAGATGTAATCCCAGCACTCTGGGAGGCTGAGGTGGGAGGATCATACGTTCAAGCCGAGCCTGATCAACTTGGTAAGTCCCTGCCTCAAAAAGTAAAAAAGAAGGGGGGGGGCCCGCTAGGATGTAGCTCAGTCACAAGGCCCTGGGTTCAAACCCCAGTAATGAGAAATCAAAAACAAAACAAAACAAGCAAAGAAAAACCAAGCTAAACCTTATGACTTTTTTTCTTACAAAAAATATTTAATAAAAATGGATCTCTGCAGAACAGGTTACAACCAGAAGTTGTACAGTCAAAATTCCAGCCCCTGGGGCAGATGAGGGGGCTAGTGGAGAACGAGGGCAGTGCCTGGCAGAGCAGGGAGCTCAGGCTCCTGACCCCGGGAGTGGGCTCAAGGCTGACACACCATTTTAGTTCTAAAGAGATGACGTGTCTTTTTAGGAAAATTACATTTTTTATTTGCTTTTGGTTTTTTTGAGACAGGGTCTCACTATGTAGCCCAGGCTGGCCTCAAGCTTATAGCAATCCTCAAGACCTCCCAAGAGCTAGGATTGCAGGCATGTGCCACCATACCTGGCTGCATTTTTAAAATGCTGGCCACTAATTGTTTCTCTCCAAAATCACAGTACATGCCAGAACAAAATACTTAATGGGCAGCCAGAGGGCAACCTATTTTACACACTCCAAAGTAAAAAGAAATGGGTTCATATGGTAGCACATACAGCCCAAAATAAAAAGTGGGTTCACTGCTCGCAAATCACCTGTACAAAGGTGAAGACAGCCTATCAGGGAGCAGAAGAGAGAGCCCAACCCTCAGATCAGAGGAAAAGGGAGAGAGATGAAGGATGAGAAGGAGCAGGACCTCCAGGTGCAGTAGCCTGTCTGCAGCTGGAGTGGCCACATGGACCCTGCTGGCACGGCAGGCCACCCACTGGATTTTCAGGCTCCAAGGAGTGGCAGGCTCATCCTAGTAGGCCAGGAGCCTTTGGCTTCTTCACTCTGGGCCTGCGAGGTCTCGCTTGCAAACTTCTGGAGCAGTTCCATTTTCTTCCTTCGCACAAAGGTCTCCTCAATCTCCTGGTACGACGCACCAGCACGTGAGCAGTGAACTTCTGCTGCCCGTCCTCTCCTCCTTTCTCCTGCCTGCCTTCCTCATCAGACTCCTCCTCAGTGACAGCATAGATGTTGATTTCCTCTTCCTCCTCCTCCTCTACCTCTTCCTTTTCTCCCCTTGCCAGCTGGGCATCCCTCTCTGCCTTCCATTTTTCCACCAGCTCAGCTCTGAGTTTCTTCTCGTATTCTTGCTCCAAAGGCACAATGATGCTGTCGTCTTCATCCAGGTAACCACAGTACTCAACACCAGTCGCCTTCATGAGCTCGGCACAAGTCTTTCTGGGAGGAGGAAGAGGTTCTTTTGCAAACAGCTCCCTAACACCAGGCAAATCCTCTGCTGCTCCAAAGTACTTGTAACCTCGGTTAACTGGGAGCTCTTTCCTTTCATGGTCCAGCATTTTAAGGCCAACTTTCCCATAGTCGGGGCCACCCAGCTCCTTTATCCAGACTTCCCAGGTGTCCTTTGTCCCTTAGCAGCTTGTTAATCTCATCGTTCAGGTCCACAATTCGGAATTCACCTAAACCAGCATTCTGAATCTGAGCCACTGTTTTTGAAACCTCTCCAGTGATCTGTTGTCTCCACTTCTCGGCTTTGGGCAGCTCGGTACACTGTGAGGCCAGGATGGGTCTTCTTTCCTTCACCTTTCCTTCTTCCAGCTGAGCTTGGTGAAACCTTGCCAATGCTGTCATAGCCTTCTCCACATTTCGGGCCAGGGTGTCAGTGCGGGCACCACCCTGGGCTCGGAGACCCCAATCCCGGCAGCTTCTCAGCCTCTGACCAGGCCAACCCTCTTGGGAACCGAAGATTTGAATTGTCCTTACGACTCTACTACTCCTATGCACCAGGCCCTCCTTCCAAGCCTCCCAGTGAGCGCCTAACGTCATCGACAGCACCAGACCCCTCAAGTGCACAGCATCTATGATAAAGTTGATCTTATAAATCAGGCACAATACCAGATTAACACCAAGAATAGTAAAACAGAAGAATTACCACAATATATCTGATGAAAGTTAACTCAACCGTATGAATTGATTATGGAATTTTCCATTTAATTGTTTCACACCATAGGTAAATGACAGAAAGTTAAACTGCAGAAAAGGGGGGCTACTGTGCTACCTCTCTGAATCCCACTATCTTTTGAGGGAGAAACTGTTCTCTTTCTACAGACGAAGCAACTAAGGCACAGAAAACTTAAGGAATTTGCCCAACGCAGTGAAATAGAAGCCACTGCAAAATTATGATCAAGCTTCCACTTCAAAAGCCCAGTTCATCTGTTTACTCAGCAGAAGGCCAGGAGACCACTGTGGGGTGACAGAAAGCAGAGGGGTTTGCACCCCACCCCCAGCGCCAATCACATCTAGATCGCCTAACAGGTCGGCTGTGCAGTGAGGATGGGAGGAAGATGATGCCCAGGTCTCTGGCCTAAGCAGCTACCAACTGGAAATATGAAGTAGCCTCTTATTCCATTGGGAATGGCTCTAAGTATAGCACATTTTTAGAGTCCATTAGGAGTCCAGCTGTAGCTATGTTGAGCTTGAGTTGCCTGTGAGATAACAAATGAAAATGTCAAGCAGGCAGCTGGCATTCACAGCAGAAGTCTAGGCTGGGGTCATGTGTGTGAGTCGTAAGTGGCATTTACAGCCTTGGTACCTGATGAAGTAACTCAGGGGCCCAGGGAGGCAAGAGAGAGCACAGGGCCCAGCATACAGCTGGGATGGCATCTACCAGAGCAACTGGGACTAAGAGTTTTGTTTGTTTTTTACAATACAAGAACTAAGAGCACTTTTTATATTTTATTTTGAGACAGGGTCTCACTAAGTCACTAAATTGCCCAAGCTGGGCTTTGACTTGTGATCCTCCTGCCTCAGCCTCCCAGAGTGCTGGGATGACAGGTGCACACCCCCACGGCTGGTGCACATTTGTTGATGGGGACGATTCTGTTGGCAGCAAGATCTGGGGACACAGGAGACACGGGGCAACGATGGGCTTGCCCTCACGAGGGAAGCACAGATGTTGTCTCTGAGAACAGACTTCCTGTTACAACAGTGATGATGCTACTGTGCTCCATGTCCAGCCTGCCCAAAATTACACAATGACCTGTGGTTAAAGTCGCATCTTGTTTTCATTATTATGACAAGGTAATGATCACATATTCAGATTTTCTTCCTCATATGACTTGTTTGTGGTGTTTTGGCTGAGTTAATTTTTAAAAAGCATGAGGGAGTTATTAATAGGCCTTATTTTTAGAGCAGTTTTCTATTTCTATTTAGCACAAAGCAAAGCCACTCATATACTTCCTTGCTTCTTACCCCCTTTTTGAGGAGGATTGCGACAGGGTGTTGCTGTGTAGTTCAAACTGGCCTTGAACTCATTATGTGGCCCAGGCTGGCCCCGAATTCATGGCAATCCTCCTGCCTCAGCCTCCTGAGTGCTGGGATCACAG